CGCTCCTTGGTTTCATCCTTCTCTCTTTCCTTCATTCCCTCCCCCTTTCTTCCTTTGCCTCCTTTCTTCCCTCCATGTTTCCTTCCTTCTTTCATTTTTTATTTCCTTTTCTCCTTCCTTCTTTACCTCTTTCCTGCCTTTCCTTCCTTTTATTTTTCTTTCCTTTCTACTTTCTCTTCTTCCTTCCTTCGGTACCTCTTTCTTTCCTGCCTTCCCTCCTTCCTTTCTTCCTTCCCATTGCTTACCAAACCCTTCTCGTGCTTTATGTTGGGTCATGGGAGTCCTGTGTGCCACGTTTGGTTTAATTCCGTCGTTGGTGGAGTTCAGAATGCTTTGATTATAGGTAAACTATAAATCCCAGCAGCTTCAATGGAGGGGGGTGGGAGGAGGAGGAGGAGGAGGAGTGCAGGGGTGGGGCGTTGGTGGGTGTGGGTGGGGCTTCGGCGAGGGGGGTGGGAGGAGGAGGAGTGCATGGGCAGGGCGTCGGTGGGGGCGGGGGCTTCGGCAGAGGGGGTGGGGAGGAGGAGTGCATGGGCGGGGCATCGGTGGGTGTGGGCGGGGCTTTGGCGGAGGGGGGGTGGGAGGAGGAGGAGTGCAGGGGCGGGGTCATTGGTTGTGGGCGGGGCTTCGGCAGAGGGGGTGGGAGGAGGAGTGCAGGGCGGGGCATCAGTGGGTGTGGGCGGGGCTTGCGGAGGGGGGTGGGAGGAGGAGGAGTGCAGGGGCAGGGCGTCATTGGTTGTGGGCGGGGCTTCGGCAGAGGGGGGTGGGAGGAGGAGTGCATGGGCGGGGCATCAGTGGGTGTGGGCGGGGCTTTGGCGGAGGGGGGTGGGAGGAGGAGGAGTGCAGGGGCGGGGCGTCATTGGTTGTGGGCGGGGCTTTGGCGGGGGGGAGGGAGGTGCGGAGGGTGCGTTGGCTGTTTGGCCATGTGCACGCGCCGGGGACTTTGCGCCATTGTGCATGCTCAGTTGTTTTGTCCTTTTTTGAGTGTGTTGTGTTGTTTTTTATTTTGATTCGATATGTTTGTAACTTGTGGGTTGAGGTATGTGCATGGGAATTTTGGTTAATTTTCATTGGGTGGTTTTTGAGTTCTGCTGTCCCGTTGGACACCCCTTACAGATTTATATATATAGATATACAGTTGCATTTCAGAAAAAATATACAATGTGCTTTCAAGCCTTCTGTATCATTTCTAAGGAGGCATAAAATCTGCTTTCTCCCTCATGGAAGTGGAACTAAGTGCAATTATTCCAGTGACTCCGCGTGCCTCCTTTCCACTGCAACCAAATCCAAAGGAATCTCAAGAAAACAATTCAGTGTCCAATAGATGAGTTCCATATGCTACTTCATATGAGAGCAAGTAGCATGTGCCGGCTCTTTCCCAGACTCTTGCCAAGCAGGTCAGGTTCATGTCAACAGCCCTCCAAACTTCTCATAAATTCCGTTCTTGCTGGCAGCTGATATTTCTTCCACCTGGAAACAATCTCTCTATCTGTTTTGATTCATTTGTTTGCTCTTTGTTTGAGAGCAGTGGGTTGAATGAGTTTCCAAATAACTCAAGGAGGTCATTTCAGGACCCATTTTGGAGTACTTGAGGTTGGCTTCCAGAAATTGGCATGATGTTGGGGTTCAGCCTCCGTTCGAACCTGAGCCTCAATCTCTGTGTGAACCTGATTCTCTAATTGTATTTCCTGATGCAACTGAACAGGCCTCTGAACATGTATCTTTCCCTGATGGTTTTGATTCTGAGGGCAGTGGCGGGGAAAGTGAAACTAAACTTCCTGATGAGAATGTTTTAGAATCAAGCAGTGATAGCTCTCCAGAGGGACTCACACCTGGGTTTGCTAATGAGGACTGAAGAGAACAGATTTGGAAAAACAGGAGTGAATCGCAGTTTCTACGAAGGTCAAATAGATTACGGGAGAGGGAGGCTCTGGCTTCAAAGTCTGGAGGCGTTTCAAGAAATAGTTTCTTTAGTTTAAGGGGCCTCTCCCCGGCTGTCTAGCTAGATCAAGCATCGTTTTAGACTGAGGCAGCACCTTGGCAGATTTCCTGTGTTCCATGGCCTGCATTCCCAGAGGCTTCTAGTTTTCAAATACGGTTAGTGACACGCTAACAGGTTCCTGGTTTTTGTGTTGTGGCTTTTTGACTTTGCATTTACCTTTCTTTTGTAACAATTTTTCATCAATAAAAAGGATTGTTTTCCCCACAGTCCAGTGTGGTGGATTTAATCTTACGGTCTCGTTTCCTGATCTGGGATGCAACACATGGCCTGTTTCAAACTCTTGGATTTTCACTGGTCCCACATCAATTCACTGTGTCACGGAGTAGAGCGGTGGTTCTCAGCCTGGGATCCCCAGATGTTTTTGGCCTTCAACTCCCAGAAATCCTAACAGCTGGTAAACTGACTGGGATTTCTGTGAGTTGTAGGCAAAAAACATTTGGGGACCCCAGGTTGAGAACCACTGGAGTAGAGCATGAGTGTGGACAGTATGGTCCATGGAGAGTTGTTCTTATGGCCCCGAGGGCTTTTTAATCCCCCCATCCTCTAGGGATGTCCTCTAGCGGTAATTCTGCCACGTTTTTGGCTACCCTTGGGTCCTTTTCGGCCCAGAAGAGGCCTTTATTCGAACAGGAAACAAGCCAAAAGTTGGTTGGTTCTGTCTGGTGCCACTAGCACTCCATGTAAATTATTTGTGACCTTCAAAAGATACAGTGGAGATTTTCCAGAATCCGCAATAACTCTACAACAAGGTTTGTGACATAATATGTACAGTCATGGTTTATCAAACTACTCCCAGATGTACAAAAACATTAAATGATGCCAGTGCTTTGCTGAGACTCTTAATTCTTATCAGAAATAATGCTCTGAATGTGTTTCCCTTTTTGGTCAAACTATATATGATCCTATCTACACTGCCATATAATGCTGTTTCACTGCAGTGAACTGCATTGGAGGGCAGCATGAATTCATATAATAATCATAGAATCATAGAATCCTAGAGTTGGAAGAGACCTCCTGGGCTATCCAGTCCAACCCCATTCTGCCAAGAAGCAGGAATATTGCATTTAAATCACCCCTGACAGATGGCCACCCAGCCTCTGCTTAAAAGCTTCCAAAGAAGGAGCCTCCACCACACTCCGAGCATTATTTCTGATAATAATAATCATAAGTAAATTATTACTATATGAATTCATGCTGCCATACAATGCAGTTCACTTGTATTTAACATTTAATAAATGTAATAATCATAATCATAAGTAAATTATTATTATTATTAAAATTTATTTATTTATTTATTATTTAGAGTTTTTATAACCCGGTCTTCTCGACCACCGGAGAGGGACTCAGGCCTGCTAACAACAGAGGATTCAATACAATAAGATAAAACAATATACATCATCAATATAAAATACATTAAAATACAGTTCATACAAATTACAAAAAAGTCAGTTCATCGGAGTGAAATCACAAATTCATCGCCATCTGCCAGTAAGGTCAGCAGTTATTGTTTCAGTCATCATTCTGCAAATGCAGTATCCCAAAGCCATGATTTTACCAGCTTTCTAAAAGTCAGGAGGGAAGAGGCAGATCTAATCTCCATCGGCAGGGAGTTCCAAAGCCGAGGGGCCACCACCAAGAAGGCCCTGTCCCTTGTCCCCACCAGATGCGATTGCGAAAGAGGTCGGACCGAGAGCAGGGCCCCTCCAGAAGATCTTAACAACCTTGATGGTTCATAGGGGAGAATCCGTTCGGACAGGTAAATTACAACATTTATATGCTGCCCTTTTCACCCCGAAGGGGACTCAGAGTGGCTTACAAGTTATATGTATATACAATATATTATATTATTAGTATAGCACAATATTAGTATTATATATTACTATATATAATACTAATACTATATAATACTATACTGAAATATTATTAGTAATATTACATGTAATATATAATTATTATATTATATTGCATTATTATTATTTTATTGTATTATAATATTATGATCAATATTGTATGTTAACACAATATGTTATATTATTAGCATACCACAATATTTGTATTATATATTAGCATATTGTTGCTGGAGGGAGGGGCTCCTAAGTGATAACCCAAGAGACACGGTGGAACTGTGTCTTCCTGGCTCCCCTTCTTCACTCTGGCCTAGAGTGGCAGTTGTTGCATGATGAAACTGCATTATGAAACTGGATTACTTGGAATTGGAGATGGATCCCTTGTCTGTTGGAGATAGCAACCTTCTCAAGCCTCTTCTATTTAATGTTTGTCTGCTTATAATGTATCGTTTTATTTTCTGAAGTGTATGTCTTCTTTGGTTTGCAGTTTCCTTAGCTCTATATACTTGAAGCAGTGGGAGGGGCTGCAGATCGCGTAACTCTTTTAGAATGAATTTTAAACATCATGACAATTGAGAAACAGTACAGAAGTGTGTTTTTCAGTCACGTATCAGTGTTAGAAGTTAGAAAACTGTTGAGGCTTGAATTCCTTTGAAGGTAGACTCTTATAAAAGAGAAATGTACTAAGCAATATAGTTTGAAGAGACTATTAAAGACAGTAATAATAATAATAATAATAATAATAATAATAATAATAGTAATAATAATAAACCTTTATTTATACCCCGCTACCATCTCCCGCAGGATTCGGTGCGGCTTACAAGAGGCCGAGCCCAAATACATCAGTAAAACACAACAACAATACAACAATAAATAACTTATAAAGCAAAACAATAACAATAATATCATGACACATTTAAAAACCTGTGGCAGGGCCAAATGTAATGATTAAAATTTTAAAAATGCTGGGCATGTCCAAGTGAAATAGGATGAATATTTTAGGGATAGGTGGGTGTGCAGACAATCCTAAATTTTTCGTAAAGTGCGTTTGGGACATATTGCTTGGGATTCCTTATTCTGGGAAGGCACACTGGAACATCCATGTTTTCAAGCTCCTTCTAGACTGCCAACGTTGGGGCCTGCCTGATGTCCTTGGGGAGGGAGTTCCAGAGTCGTGGGGCCACCTTCGAGAAGGCCCTGTGTCTCGTTCCCACCAATCGCACTTGTGATGCAGGTGGGATCGTGAGCAGGGCCTCTCCAGTAAGTTAAAGATTCAAACTGAAATGTTTAAAGTTCAACCTGACAAGAAATATGTGTGTAGATTTGTTGTTGTTGTTCATTTGTTCAGTCGTCTCCGACTCCTCGTGACCTCATGGACCAGCCCACGCCAGAGCTCCCTGTTGGCCGTTACCACCCCCAGCTCCCTCAAGGTCAGTCCAGTCACTTCAAGGATGCCATCCATCCATCTTGCCCTTGGTCGGCCCCTCTTCCTTTTGCCTTCCACTTTCCCCAGCATAATTGTCTTCTCTAGGCTTTCCTGTCTCCTCATGATGTGGCCAAAGGACTTCAACTTTGTCTCTAGTATTTCCCTCCAGTGAGCAGCCGGGCTTTATTTCCTGGAGGATGGACTGGTTGGATCTTCTCGCAGTCCAAGGCACTCTCAGACTTTCCTCCAACACCACAGCTCAAAAGCATCGATCTTCCTTCGCTCAGCCTTCCCGAAGGTCCAGCTCTCACATACGTAGGTTACTACAGGGAAGACCATGGCTTTGACTAGGCAATGGATCTTTGTTGCCAGTCTGATGTCTCTACTCTTCACTATTTTATCGAGACTGGACATTGCTCTCCTCCCAAGAAGGAAACGTCTTCTGATTTCCTGGCCACAGTCTGCATCTGCAGTAATCTTTGCACCTAGAAATACAAAGTCTGTCACGGCCTCCACGGTTTCTCCCTCTATTTTCCAGTTGTCAATCATTCTTGTGGCCATAATCTTGGTTTTTTTGACGTTTAGCTGCAACCCGGCTTTTGCGCTTTCTTCTTTCACCTTGATTAGAAGGCTCCTCAGCTGTGTGTATATTTAAATACATGAAATTATGAGTAAAACAACTTGTTTACCTCTCCGAACGTATTCTCCCCTATGAACCATCAAGATTATTAAGATCGTCTGGAGAGGCCCTGCTCTCGGTCCCACCGGCCTCGCAAGCGCCTGGTGGGGACGAGGGACAGGGCCTTCTCGGTGGTGGCCCCTCGACTCTGGAACTCTCTCCCACTGGAGATCAGAACCGCCCGTCTATCCTGACATTTAGGAAACAGGTGAAGACTTGGTTATGGAGACAGGCATTCGACGAGTGAGCCAACACCCTGAGATATGGATGGAGGAGGATGAGCAACGATTTTAGTATGACAACTGACCATTATAGTTATTGATTGTAATTGCTGTTTTAATGTTTTACTGTAATATGTATTATGATGTTTTATTGATTGTATGTGATATTATGGTTGGAAACCGGTCTGAGTCCCTCAAGAGAGGTGAGAAGGTCGGTATACAAAACTTTTAAATAAATAAGTAATAAATAAATTATTTCAAAAGAAGTCTACTTAAATCTTAGTCTGCTGAGAGCATTGAATAGAAACAAGATATTTACAAGCCCAGGGATCATCCATTACTCAATAAACTAAAGGAACACCTCCATAACTCTGCTACTCAATAGGTTATGATCTTAACAGGTCATAAACCATAATTCCCAATAGGTCATGATCCTAACAGGTCATTATCCATTATCCTAATATTGTCAGCATTGTAAATCCCCCAAACCAGTCTCTGATTATCCAGATGACAAAAACATTACATGGTAAACACATCATTTATGGAGTAAACAAAGTATTATTACATTAGGTTCTTGTGGGTTTTTTCGGGCTATAGAGCCATGTTCTAGAGGCATTTCTCCTGACGTTTCGCCTGCATCTATGGCAAGCATCCTCAGAGGTTGAGAAGGTCTGTTGGAAGTAGGAAAAATGGGTTTATATATCTGTGGAATGGCTGGGGTGGGGCAAGGAGCTCTTCCCTGCTGCAGTTAGGTGTGAATGTTTAGCTGATCACCTTCATTAGCATTTGAAGGCCTGCCTGAGTCTGGGAAAATCTGTTGCTGGGAGGTGTTAATCTGTGCCTGGTTTTTTTCCTCTCTGTTGTTTAGCTGTTATAATTTTAGAGTTTTTTAATACTGGTAGCCAGATTTTGTTCATTTTCATGGTCTCTTCCTTTCTGTTGAAATTGTCCACATGCTTGTGGATTTCAATGGCTTCTCTGTGTAGTCTGACATGGTGGTTGTTGGTGTGGTCCAGCATTTCTCAGGCAGGCTTTCAAATGCTAATGAAGGTGATCAGCTAAACATTCACACCTAACTGCAGCAGGGAAGAGCTCCTTGCCCCACCCCAGCCATTCCACAGATATATAAACCCATTTTTCCTACTTCCAACAGACCTTCTCAACCTCTGAGGATGCTTGCCATAGATGCAGGCGAAACGTCAGGAGAAATGCCTCTAGAACATGGCTCTATAGCCCGAAAAAACCCACAAGAACCTAGTGATTCCAGCCATGAAAGCCTTCGACAATATATTATTACATTGTTTACTCCCAGCTTTTGCCAAATCGGAAATGTAAGAATATTTCTGAGTAGGAGTTTCAATATTACATTAGGGACCAATTAAGCCTTGCTACTAAAAGAGGTGGAAAAGCTGGAATGCAGAATCTAGATTTGCAGCAACTCTCAGTCCTCTGCCCTGATCTTTTATCTCCAAGGGAGTCTCCAGATCAGGCGAGAATCTCCTTTGAGTTCTTCTTCTCTACTCATTGCGCCATAGGAATGGGATTTCCTACCGCTTCTTCCCTTATTCGGCCCCTACCTTTTTCACTCCGCCGAGGGTAAGGTCTCGGGAGCGGATGGAGGGCAGGCGGCCTGGAGTGATGGGGGCGGAGGGTCTCCTCCCTATCAGCCCCCGGGCGGCAGCAAGTGTGGGCCGGACGCTGCCCGAGGTTCCAGCATCACTGCTTGAAGTCCCTTCTGACATTCTGAATCATCTGCCAAAAGGGAAAAAAGAGTTAATAAAACAAAGATCCCAGTCTGTGTATATGTGCTTTGTGTGTGTATATATTTGTGTATATGTGTATATACATATGCTTGCGTATATATATGTGGTTTTGCACACGTGTTGTAATCTTTTTTTTATTTAATTTTTGGCTTTTTAAGTCCTATCTTCTGTGTTTTGAGTTATGTTAATCCCACAAACTAACATTACATTGTTATTTATATAGACTAGCCGTCCCCTGCCACGTGTTGCTGAGTCCTAGTCTGTGTATATGTGCTTTGTGTGTGTATATATTTGTGTATATGTGTATATACGTGTGTTTGCGTGCGTATGTGTGGTTTTGCGCATGCATTGCAATGTGTTTTTAAAGTTTTTGGCTGTTTAAGTCTCTTCCGCTGTGTTTTTCAGTGTTTTATGAGTGATGGTCACTCCCTGGCCTGAGAGGTGTCTTGTGTCCAAATTTGGTGTCAATCTGTCCAGTGGTTTTTGAGTTATGTTAATCCCACAAACTAACATTACATTGTATTGTCGAAGGCTTTCATGGCCGGAATCACTGGGTTGCTGTAGGTTTTTCCGGGCTATATGGCCATGTTCTAGAGGCATTCTCTCCTGACGTTTCACCTGCATCTATGGCAAGCATCCTCAGAGGTAGTGAGGTCTGTTGGAACTAGGAAAATGGGTTTATATATCTGTGGAATGACAAGGGTGGGATTCTTTTGTTGAGAGGTGATTAGGTGTGCCTGGTTGTTTGCTCTCTGTTGTTTTGCTGTTGTAATTTTAGAGTTTTTTTTTTAAAATATTGGTAGCCAGATTTTGTTCATTTTCATTAACAAAATTTCAGCAAAACAATAGAGAGTAAAAAATCAGGCACATCTAATCACCTCTCCACAAAAGATTCCCCTAGGCACTGCCAGGCCATCAAATGCTAATCAAAGTGGCCAGTTGAAACATTTCCACCTAGCTCCAGCAGACAAGAGTCCTTTGTCCCACCCTGGTCATTATTCCACAGATATATAAACCCACTTTCCTAGTTCCAACAGACCTCACTACCTCTGAGGATGCTTGCCATAGATGCAGGCGAAACATCAGGAGAAAATGCCTCTAGAACATGGCCAGATAGCCCGAGAAAACCCACAACAACCCACTAACATTACATTGTTAGGTTCTTGTGGCTTTTTTCGGGCTATAGAGCCATGTTCTAGAGGCATTTCTCCTGACGTTTCACCTGCATCTATGGCAAGCATCCTTAGAGGTAGTGAGGTCTGAGAGAGAATGCTTTTAGAACATGATTCCAGCCATGGAAGCCTTTGACAATACACGCTTTAGTTCTTGTGGACCACTGGTGGTCCACAGACCACAGGTTGGGAACCACAACTCTACGGTGATCCTACCATAGGGCTTTCTGGAGTTGAGTGTATTACTGAGGATGGATCTACACTACTCTATATCCCAGATTATCTGCTTATCCTAGATTATCTGGTGGTGTAGACTCAAATAATCCAGTTAATAAGGTTCTTGTGGGTTTTTTTGGGCTATAGAGCCATGTTCTAGAGGCATTTCTCCTGACATTTCGCCTGCATCTAAGGCAAGCATCCTCAGAGGTAGTGAGGTCTGTTGGAGTTAGGACAATGGGTTTATATATCTGTGGGATGGCTGGGGTGGGGCAAGGAGCTCTTCTCTGCTGGAGCTAGGTGTGAATGTTTCAACTGACCAACTTCATTAGCATTTGAAGGCCTGGCTGAGCCTGGGAAAATCTCTTGCTGGGAGGTGTTAATCTGTGCCTGGTTGTTTCCTCTCTGTTGTTTTGCAGTTGTAATTTTAGAGTTTTTTAATACTGGTAGCCAGATTTTGTTCATTTTCATGGTCTCTTCCTTTCTGTTGAAATTGTCCACATGCTTCTTGTGGATCTCAATGGCTTTGTTCTTTTCAATTACATTGTTCTTTATATAGATTGCATTATGTTATATTAATGACTGCAGGAACATGACTCACTGGCCATACACAATGTCCCTGGGCCTCTTCATGATGTTCTCCAGCCTTCTGCTGGCCCACCACTATCAAATACTCACTGGGCCGCCATGTTTTTTCTCTTTGACTCCAACTCCCAGAAGCCTCAGCCACTCCGTCCAATGAATAGGAATTCTGGGAGATGAAGTCCAAAACACCTCGCAAGGCCCCACACCGCCTCCAGGCCTCTGGAATGCAAGGCCAGGCTTCCCCGGCTCCCACGGCTTTTAGGCCCGCTCCCCACATAGGCAGGCACGCCCCCCTTTTCCCCCGGACCCACCCGAAACGAGGCGAGGCTTCTTTCTCCGTTTCCAATGGCGCCGCTTCCCTCGAGGTCTCTCTCTCCGACACACAGCCACGGTGCAGATCGCGGAGTGCGCATGCGCGGCAGGGCCCCCGCCATTTTTGAACCTGGCACGGTCTGCCCCTTTGCCACCTCCCCCATGTTTCTGAAGGAGGAAACTGCGAATCCGCCATGTTTGTTTAAGGCAATGTTTCCGGGTTTGTTTGTTTTCACCACCCCAAGAAAGGAAGACACTGTTGAATGAATGGAGTTGACTCCAGTTTCATTGATTGGCACAACTCAGTGCTATGGGGTGTGACAAGGCTTTTTAAAATTATTATTAATATTAATATTATTATTTATTGGGGCCTTTTCTGCCCAAGATGCTGAGGCCTCATCAAACTATAACTCCCACAATTCCTAACAGCCTTCCGGCTGTTAGAAATTGTGGGAGTTGGAGTCCAAAACACCTGGAGGGCCAAATTTGGAGACTTTATAGAATCATAAGAGTTGGAAGGGACCCCCAAGGGCCATCCAGTCCAACCCCCTTCTGCCATGCAGAAGAAGCACAATCAAAGCATAACCAAGAAAGCACCCCCAAAAGATGGCCACCCAGCCTGTGTAATAATAACAATAACAACAACAACAACAACAACAACAACAACAATAATAATAGGAGCAACCCCAGGGACCATCCAGTCCAACCCCCTTCTGCCATGCAGAAGAAGCACAATCAAAGCACCCCCAAAAGATGGCCACCCAGCCTGTGTAATAATAACAATAACAACAACAACAACAACAATAATAATAGGAGCAACCCCAGGGACCATCCAGTCCAACTGCCTTCTGCCATGCAGAAGAAGCACAATCAAAGCACCCCCAAAAGATGGCCACCCAGCCTGTGTAATAATAGTAATAATAGGAGCAACCCCATGGACCATCCAGTCCAAACTCCCTCTGCCATGCAGAAAAAGCACAATCAAAGCACCCCCAAAGATGGCCACCCAGCCTGTGTAATAATAACAATAACAACAACAACAACAACAATAATAATAGGAGCAACCCCAGGGACCATCCAGTCCAACCCCCTTCTGCCATGCAGAAGAAGCACAATCAAAGCACCCCCAAAAGATGGCCACCCAGCCTGTGTAATAATAACAATAACAACAACAACAACAACAATAATAATAGGAGCAACCCCAGGGACCATCCAGTCCAACCCCCTTCTGCCATGCAGAAGAAGCACAATCAAAGCACCCCCAAAAGATGGCCACCCAGCCTGTGTAATAATAACAATAACAACAACAACAACAACAATAATAACAGAAACCCCAGGGACCATCCAGTCTAACCTCCTTCTGCCTTCATACAGGAAAAGCACAATCAAAGCACTCCCAACTGATGGCCATCGTAATAATAACAATAACAACAACAACAACAACAATAATAATAGGAGCAACCCCAGGGACCATCCAGTCCAACCCCCTTCTGCCATGCAGAAGAAGCACAATCAAAGCACCCCCAAAAGATGGCCACCCAGCCTGTGTAATAATAACAATAACAACAACAACAACAACAATAATAATAGGAGCAACCCCAGGGACCATCCAGTCCAACTGCCTTCTGCCATGCAGAAGAAGCACAATCAAAGCACCCCCAAAAGATGGCCACCCAGCCTGTGTAATAATAACAATAACAACAACAACAACAACAATAATAATAGGAGCAACCCCAGGGACCATCCAGTCCAACCCCCTTCTGCCATGCAGAAGAAGCACAATCAAAGCACCCCCAAAAGATGGCCACCCAGCCTGTGTAATAATAACAATAACAACAACAACAACAACAATAATAATAGGAGCAACCCCAGGGACCATCCAGTCCAACCCCCTTCTGCCATGCAGAAGAAGCACAATCAAAGCACCCCCAAAAGATGGCCACCCAGCCTGTGTAATAATAATAACAACAACAACAACAACAACAATAATAATAGGAGCAACCCAGGGACCATCCAGTCCAACCCCCTTCTGCCATGCAGAAGAAGCACAATCAAAGCACCCCCAAAAGATGGCCACCCAGCCTGTGTAATAATAACAATAACAACAACAACAACAACAATAATAATAGGAGCAACCCCAGGGACCATCCAGTCCAACTGCCTTCTGCCATGCAGAAGAAGCACAATCAAAGCACCCCCAAAAGATGGCCACCCAGCCTGTGTAATAATAACAATAACAACAACAACAACAACAATAATAATAGGAGCAACCCAGGGACCATCCAGTCCAACCCCCTTCTGCCATGCAGAAGAAGCACAATCAAAGCACCCCCAAAAGATGGCCACCCAAATAATAATACTAATAGGAGCAACCCCAGGGGTCTTCCAGCCTTAATAATAATAATAATCCCAGGCGACAGCTGGATTGACAAGAAGCAGCTGGAAAAGCTGACACGATATGAGGATTTAAAGATTGAACTGAAAAACTCTGGCACAAGCCAGTCAAGGTGGTTCCAGTGATGATCGGCACACTGGGCGCAGCGCTTCAAGACCTTGGTCTGCACTTAAACACAATCGGCGCTGACAAAACTGCCATCTGCCAGCTGCAAAAGGCCACCTTTCTGGGATCTGCATGCATTATTCACTGATACATCACACCGTCCTAGACACTTGGGAAGTGTTCGACGTGGGATCCAATACAAATCCAGCACTGTGATCTTGTTCGCTATGTACTAATCTTGTTATGTATCTCTAATACTAATAATAATAGGAGCAACACCAGGGGTCATCCAGTCCAACCGTCTTCTGCCATGCAGAAAAAGAATCAACAAAGCACCCCTAACAGATAGCCACCCAGCCTGTGTAATAATAATAATAATAATAATAATAATAATAATAGCAATTCCAGGGGGCTTTCCAGTCCAACCGCCTTCTGCCATGCAGAAAAGACACCATCAAAGCACCCCCAAAAGATGGCCATCCAGCTTGTGTAATAATAATAACAATAACAACAACAATAATAATGGGAACAACCCCAGGGACCATCCAGTCCAACCTCCTTCTGCTATGTAGGAAAAAGCACCATCAAAGCAACAACAACAACAACAACAACAACAACAATAATAATAGGAGCAACCCCAGGGACCATCCAGTCCAACCCCCTTCTGCCATGCAGAAGAAGCACAATCAAAGCACCCCCAAAAGATGGCCACCCAGCCTGTGTAATAATAACAATAACAACAACAACAACAACAATAATAATAGGAGCAACCCCAGGGACCATCCAGTCCAACTGCCTTCTGCCATGCAGAAGAAGCACAATCAAAGCACCCCCAAAAGATGGCCACCCAGCCTGTGTAATAATAACAATAACAACAACAACAACAACAATAATAATAGGAGCAACCCCAGGGACCATCCAGTCCAACTGCTTTCTGCCATGCAGTAAAAGCACCCCCAACAGATGGCCACTCAGCCTGTGTAATAATAATAATAATAATAATAATAATAATAATAATAATAGGAGCAACCCCAGGGACCATCCAGTCCAACCGCCTTCTGCCATGCAGAAGAAGCACCATCAAAGCACCCCCAAAAGATGGCCATTCAGCCTGGGTAATAATAATAATAATAATAATAGTAATAATAATAGGAGCAAACCTAGGGACCATCCAGTCCAACTGCTTTCTGCCATGCAGTAAAAGCACCCCCAACAGATGGCCACTCAGCCTGTGTAATAATAATAATAATAATAATAATAATAATAATAATAATAATAGGAGCAACCTCAGGGACCATCCAATCCAACCCCCTTCTGCCATGCAGAGAAAGCACAATCAAAACACTCCCAACAGATGGTTAGCTCCTTAAAGCGCTCCTTATAGAGCTCGGCTTCGAAATCTGTGATCATTTCGCTCACCTTTCTCTGGACACATTCCATCTCACCAATATCCTTTCTGAATTGCTTTGCCCAGAAAAACGGACACTGGGTTATTTCAAGTGCAGTCCGACCAAAACAGAATAGATGGGAACTATGACCTCCCTCAATCTTGGCACTATATTCCTGTGGATGCAGCCTAGGATTGCATTGGCATCTGTCTATCTGTCTCAGGAGGGGGTCCCTTTCACACGGTCAACCTGATGCCAATTATTATCAGCAAGAATAGAACTGCATAAGCATTGGGAGAAACACCGCCTGGTTTGCTATCACTAGGTGGCACTGAGCAAGCTCTAGGAAAGCTGGGCAGTGTTGTTGCAGCAGATTTAATCATCATGCCTCCTCTACATCTATATAAATAAAAATGTCACGTTAGTTTGTGGGATTAATAGAACTCAAAAACCACTGGACAAATTGACACCACATTTGGACACAAGACACCTAACAACCCAATGTATGTCCTTCACTCAAAAAAATTCATTTTGTCATTTGGGAGTTGTCGATGCTGGGATTTATAGTTCACCTACAATCAATGAGCACCCTAAACCCCACCAACGATGGAATTGAACCAAACTTGGCACACAGTTCTCCCATGTGGTGGTGCAGTGGGTTAAACCCCTGTGCAGGCAGGACTGAAGACCGACAGGTCGCAGGTTCGAATCCAGGGAGAGGCAGATGAGCTCCCTCTATCAGCTCCAGCTCCTCATGCGGGAACATGAGAGAAGCCTCCCACAAGGATGATCAAAACATCAAAACATCCAGGCGTCCCCTGGGCAACATCCTTGCAGACAGCCAATTCTCTCACACCAGAAGCAGCTTGCAGTTTCTCAAGTCGCTCCTGACACGACCGGAAAAAAAAAAGTTCTTCCATGACCAACAGAAAATACTGGAAGGGTTTGGTGGGCAATGTCCTTTGGTTTGGGAGTTGTAGTTCATCTACATCCAGAGATCACTGTGGACTCAAACAATGATGGATTTGGACCAAA